GGGGCAGAGCGGCCGCTGCAAGATCGTGGTGGTAGGGGACGCTGAGTGCGGCAAGACGGCGCTGCTGCAGGTGTTCGCCAAGGACGCCTATCCTGGGGTGAGGAGCTAGAGCGTCTGGAGAGGGGGTCTGTGGGGGTGGGTGACAGGGGCCCAGGGGAAGGGTGAAAACGAGTGCCAGTGTCACAACGGAGGGGGGGCAGAGAGAGAGAGGGAGAGCGGGAGGGAGAAGGGAAGAGGAAGGAGGCTTTGGGGGGCTCGGAAAGGACTGCAGAGGATTGGGGTGGGAGGAATTAGGGGGCAGAGCATGGTGAAATGTATGGGGTTTGGGAGAGCCAGAGGAGACGGGAAGGCGCGCTAGGAGAATGTCGGAGGTCCTCCGCATCGGAGAGGGGAAGAACTCAGGGGCTGAGGGGACCGGGAGGGGGTCCGGGAGCCTAGCCGGGATTCCGCGGAGGCAGCAGCTCCTGGGATCTTCCCTTCCTCCAAATTCTGTCCAAGGACCGGGCTGGACCGGGTGTGGGAGGCAAGAGGGCATTTGTCTGGGGTGAGAACCAGAGAGAGAATCTGCTCTTGACCCATCATCCCTGCCTGCAGAGTTATGTCCCCACGGTGTTTGAGAACTACACTGCAAGCTTCGAGATCGACAAGCGCCGCATTGAGCTCAACATGTGGGATACTTCAGGTAGCTCAGAACCTCGGGGTCACCCTGACTTCCAAGTTCCCCCCCCCACCTCCCATCCTCACCCCTTCCTTGTCTAGACCCTTAGATTCTAGGTCACCTCAGCCTGCCCATCCATCTGATTCTAGAAGAAGCTAAATCAATTTTGTGCTTAAAGCCAGGGAGACTAAGGCAGAGAGCTGGACAGACACCATGTCCTGAAGGATGCAGCCCTGGGCTCTACCTGGAGAAGTTAGAAAAGAAGATGGAACATGTTTTTTAGGAGATGGAACTGGGTTTAAGAAAGATGTTTAGAATCTTAAAGGAAACTAGAGAAATCTTAGGTGAAGTCCCGAGAGGATGGGGGAGCTCTTTCCCTGTCCCTGCTCCTCATCCTCTTCCAATATGCGAAGGCTAATTTTTTTAATTTTTATTTATTTATTTTTGGTGCTGATACTAGGGCTTGAACTCAAGGCCTGGGAGCTGTTCCTCAGCTTTTTCATTCTACCACTAGCACCACTGTTCCATATCTATCTTTTTGGTGGTTAATTGGAGAGGAGTCTCAGGGACTTTCCTTCCCCAGGCTGGCTTTGAACTATGATCTTCAGATCTCATGCTCCTGAGTAGCTAGGATTACAGGTGTGAGCCACAGAGCGCCCAACATTTGATCAACATTTCTTAAGTCTCCCCATTTCATGCCTCCCTTCATGTCTCCCAACCACTCAGGTGCCTTGTCTATCTTCTTATTCCATCTTCCCTCAGGTTCCTCTTACTATGATAACGTCCGGCCTCTGGCCTATCCTGATTCTGATGCTGTACTCATCTGCTTTGACATTAGCCGGCCAGAGACACTGGACAATGTTCTCAAAAAGGTGGGGAAGCAAGGCAACTAGACTGAAGGAACAGACAGCATGGTCTTGACACAGCTTGTACTATGAGGAGAGGGTTGGGGCATGGCCATCTGATGGAGAGTGGGTGAAGCTTCCATCCATCTCTCTAGACTAGGCCCATTCCTGAAAATCAGTTGTCAGCTGGAAACAGCAGCAGGGTGAGATGGAGAGAGCAGGAAATTCTTAGGAAACTCCTTATTTGCTCTCCCCATCTCCTTGGCTGTAGATGGAAGGGTTGGGAATGCTGACCCTAGAGCTCAAGAAAACCCTGGGGCCATGGCTCTGTTTCAATGAGAAAAAAATAATCCGTGGTGAATAGACAAAAGTCAGCTATGCAAAGCCAGGTTCCCAGGTAGAAGAGGAAAGAAAGTTGGGTTGGTGTATACCCAGGAAAAAGTCTGGGAAAAGGGGAGGGCAATAGGAAGGCTCCAGGTTAGCAGATCCTTGCTAGCCACTGAGAGTGGAAGAAAACCCCTAAACTCCACAGCCCCACTGTAGCCCTTTTACCCCCCTTTCTCTAGACACTTCCATCCCACTATTCCTATGTCCATCCTGGTCTGTTAGAATCCGTGTTTTCTGCATGCTCTGAGGAAGGACTTCCTCCTGGCATGAAACCAGTGATTGCTCTGTTCCCTCGTGAACCCCTCCATAACTCTTATTTTCCTCCCTGAATAGTGGCAGGGGGAGACTCAGGAGTTTTGCCCGAATGCCAAGGTTGTGCTGGTTGGCTGTAAGCTGGACATGCGAACTGACTTGGCCACACTGAGGGAGCTATCCAAGCAGAGGCTTATCCCTGTCACACATGAGCAGGTAAGACCCTTGACCTCGGCCTCCATCCAACCCCTGACCCTCCTCCAGCCCTGGACCTCTCACCTCATCCCCCAGCCTCTATGTTTCCTTGCTGAGCTACAGGCTAAGTCCCATATACTTCTTTTCCAGGGCACTGTGCTGGCCAAGCAGGTGGGGGCCGTCTCCTATGTTGAGTGTTCCTCCCGATCTTCTGAGCGCAGCGTCAGGGATGTCTTCCACGTGGCCACAGTGGCTTCTCTTGGCCGGGGCCATAGGCAGCTGCGTCGTACTGACTCACGCCGGGGTCTGCAGCGATCCACGCAGCTGTCAGGACGGCCAGATCGGGGCAATGAGGGCGAGATACACAAGGATCGAGCCAAGAGCTGCAACCTCATGTGAGGGGCTGCAGTGGCACAGAGTGAAGAGGGGATGTCGAGGGGCACAGTACTTCTTCTGTCCGCACCTGGGCTTCCTGACCTCCTGACCTTGGCTGGGAGGCTAGGATAGGCAGATGGAGCAAGGCTTCTGGTCAGAGGAGCTAGAAGGCAGAGGGATGTCACCATTCTCCTTGTCACCATCCCCTCCTTGCCTCTGGAATTTAAGGGGATTAACAGATGGGCATCTGGGGCATGAACTTGAGGGGGGCAGGTGGGCATTAGGGAAGCCAGCATCAAGCAATGACCTTGTTCAGCCTTGTGTAGAAAGAGTACCTTCTCTTCCCATCCTGGGTCCCTGAATCCTGGCCCTGGCTTCCTTTCCTAAGCAAAAATGTCAATTCTGCACACTTCTTTTCTTGATCTCTCATTTCTACAGCTGTTCTCACACATTCTAACCTCCAGGCTACATGCACTAAATTTTAAAGCAAGGGGAAGCCCCTCTCCACCACCAGTCCCCCTCCCCATCCCCCTTCCTCCCCATGCTCCCCCAAATAAAGCCCATGTCCATGGAAAACGGCTGTGGCTTTAGTATTGTTTTTGTTTTTTCCTTTTCTTCCCCAAAACCCACTAGTTCTCTAGCAGCAAGAGGACAAGCTAATCCTTAAGGAAGGACTTCCCTATCCTTGTCCATAGATGGAGCAGAGGGAAGAAGAATGAGTTGGACCCCTTCTTTTAGGAGCCAGAGCTGGGGTGGGGGAGAAGGTTATGTTGGGACTCTTCATTGCAGGTAATAAAGAGGAACAGTCTTCAGGTGATTGGAGGGCCTTGGAGGAGACTTATGTCTAGATAGTTGTTCACTCAGCCCAGCTGGGGAACACTGATGGCAGGAGGGAGGCTTTACTGACAGGTTCCCTTAAGGGGCCAGAACATCACCCAAGCTAAACCTGTATAGGATGAAGTTTCCCAATTCTGGGGGTCTCCCAGAGGCTAAGGTAGAGGCTCTCTCCTTCCTACCCTGAACAACTTGATCATTTGAGGAAGAGTTTTTGCTGTGAGTTTAGGGTCACCTTCCCCCCATCCCATCCCCTAGAGAAGGAAAGCTGGTAGAAGGGATGGCCAAAGCACTTGTTGTCAGAAAGGACAGTACTGGTCTGTTTTCTTGGGAGTCTGGTTTCAGATTGTCCTGTATTCCCTCCTTGGCTCTGGTCCCACTGGCCTCTTTTCGGTGACATTCTCCCCCAGGAACCATCCCTGGCCTCCCCCTCCCCCTGCCCCAGCCCCAACCTCTTCTCCCAGACTCACTAGAAGAGCACAGATCTTTCCTTCCTCTCTTCTGGGACCTTACTGTACTTCCTTGTGCATTCAGCAACTATAAAGTGTGCCAGTTGTGCCAGCCACTAATGTGAGAGACTGAAAGTCCAGTCTTTGAGCATCTACGGGTCAGCCTAGTGAAAGAGAGTAACCCAGATGTGAAGGTGGCTTAACTGTGGGAGAGTTGTACCTGGCTTCCCTATGACTAGGGAAGCCAGTCCTCTGAGCCAGGTCCTGAAGGTTGAAGAGGAGTTTGCCATGAAGTGGGGGAGGTTAGAAAGGCATGGTGGGTAGAGGGGCAGGCAGATGTAAAAAAGGGGGTGAGGATGAGCGTGAGTGGGCTCTCATGGTAGGGAGAGCTGAAGACAAGGCTGGCAAAGCACCTGGAGGCTGCAGCAGGGCTCAGAAGGGAGCAAAGATTTCATTGGAGGATATGAGGTGCCACCAGAGATCTCAAGCAGTGTGAAGAGGTCAGATTTGGTTTTGGGGTCGGCATTTCTGGAGAGGTGGTGGGGATCAGAGGTTTGGGCTCTGACATGCATCAGTTAAAGTAAACCCTCTTGTGAGGCTGATGAGGGGGACTCATGCCTGTAATCCTACCTACTCAGGAGGTTGTAATCTAAAGAATCAGAATGGTGGTTTGAAGCCAGTTCAGATAAAAAAAAAAGTCTGCTGAACTCCGTTCCCAATTAACCCAGAAAAAGGAGGACTGGAATTATGATTCAAGTGATAGAGTGCCAGCTGAGTAAGCAAGCCAAGTAAGCCAACAAGCCTGAGGTACGAGCAAAATAAAACTTAAATTAAATAAGGTAGTCTTTCTTTTCTCTCTCACCCTTTCCCTCCCTCCCTCCCTCCCTCCTTCTCTCTCTCTCTCTCTCTCTCTCTGGTATGCCAGGCCCCAATGTTTGGAAAGGAAATCTACTCCCTGTCTCACTAGACTTCCCCCTCCCTCCCCCTCCTAAGGGACTTCTGTCCTAATCTATCTGAGCTGATCTCCAGGATTCCATGGCAACTTTAAGGCCTCTGGACTTCCCACCACTCAACCGAAGCTTGGTTAGCATTTGGCCCTGAGACTCTCTTCAAGGATTCCCAAGGCCTGAGCTGAGGGTGCTGGAGAGGGCTGGGGCGCTCCATCTGTCCCATAGGGACCTGCCATGAAAAACTGACTTGGCACCAGTCCATTTTGATGAGGCACTTCCCCTCCACTTTGAAGGATCCAGGACCAAAGCAGGCTCAGGCCTGCAGTATCCCCAGAGTGCAGTGTTTGCATTGCCTCTCTCCCTGGCCCCCAATCATATGAGCTCAGGGAATGCAAATGCATCTCAATATCCGCCCAACACAAACATAATTAGGACAGTAAATCAACTGGAGGAACTCCCAAAGTTTAATACATTTCCAGTATCGCCGAGACTGGATTTTGGTCCCTTCTGCAGATCTGGGTAGCCAATTTTTACCTTGGGGAGGATGCTGAACTCTGGGCTAAGAAGATCAATGGGTGGGAAGAGGGAATGGGCTATTGCTAGCTCCAAAGAGACCTCTGCAGACTAGAGGGAGTGGGGTGGGGGAACCTTCTACTCCCATCCCAGATGCCAGAGTCAGACCTAGCTTCCTCCTCTGCAGCTGTTTCCCCCACAAATTAGACACCCATTTGGGAAACAATGTAGCCTCGTTAATCATTTAATGAAATAAACAACTAATCATGCTGTGATGCTGCCAATGTTTCTTAACCTCAGTAATCAGCCTGCTGCGGGGGAGTGGGAGAAGGAAGAGACAAGCAGATTTCAGCCTCTGAGACTTTGCAACTGATGGGGGGGGGGTCTCATGTCCATTGCCTCCCCCACTTACTGCTTTTCCCTCCCTCCCTTCCCCTTCATCCCCCAGAGAGACAGCCACAGAAAAAAACCCCTGAGATTTGGGGGCTGAAGCTGGAAGACCTGGGTTCAGCCCTGTAGCTTTCTCCCTGGGGAGCATGTGGACTGTCTGAACTTCATTTTTCCTACCTAAGAAAGGGAGCTGATCACTTGTCCCTTTTTGGGCTGCTGAAGATGTAGAGTCAGGTGCTGGTGGCTCACGCCTGTAATCCTAGCTACTCAAGAGGCTGAAATCTGAGGATCGAGGTTCAAAGACAGCCTGGGCAGGAAAGTCCGTGAAACTTTTATCTCCAATAAACCACCTGAATGGTAGAGTGATCACCTTGAGCTGAAGAGCTCAGGGACAGTGCCCAAGCCCAGAGTTCAAGCCCCATGATTGAACCACCCCCCTCCAAAAAAAAGAAAGAAAGATGCAGAGAGCAGAATTAATGTGAGAAACTGCTTGGCCCTTTCCCAGAGCCTGAGCTAGTGTCTTCCACCCAAGACTTCTGTGCAAGCTTCAGTGCTCTTCAGCTGGCCCTGAGGCCATCAGGAAAGGTGTTTTAGATGGCAGGGGGTGTTTGAAGCTAGGATTTAAGGGCTTGGGGGAAGGTAGAAGCTGTATTTTGCAGTCCTGGGCCTTGAACTCAGGACCTGGGTGCTGTCCCTAAATTCCTTTTGCTCAAGGCTAGCACTCTACTACTACAACTAGAGTACCACTTCTGTTTTTTTTCAGTGGTTAATTGGAGACAAGAATCTTACGGGCTTCCCCGCTCAGGCTGGCTTTGAACAGTGATCCTCAAATCTCAGCCTCCTGAGTAGCTAGGATTACAGGCGTGAACCACTAGCACCCTCAATACTGGATGGAGCTGGAGCGGAAAAAGCTTTGAGTCCTTGGCAATATCCTTTGGTCTCCATTTTTCTGAGTTCTCTTCCTTACTTTTTCTGAGTTCTTTTTTCCTTCCCTCTATCCCATCACCTCCTTCCCTTCTTTCTTCCTTTTGTTCCTTTTCTTTCTCTTTCTTTCTCTCTGTCAGTCTGAGGGTCTGAACTCTGGGCCTGGGTGCTGTCCCTCAGCTCTTCAGCTCAAGGCTAGTGCTCTACCATTTGAGCCACAGCCCCACTTCCAGCTTTTTCTGCATATGTGGTGCTGAGGAATTGAACCCAGGGCCTCATGCATACAAGGCAAGTACTAAACCACTGAGCCATCTTCCCAGCACCCCCCCTTCCTTCCTTTCTTCCTTTCTTTCTTTTTCTTTCCTTCTCTTTTTCTTTTTGCTTTTGAGACTGGGTCTTACTATGTAGCTCAGGCTAGCCTTGAACTCTTGCTCCTCCTGCCTCAGCCTCCTGGATGATAGGATTGCAATAGTCTGCCATTACGCTTGGCTTTTTAAAGCTTCTGGGCATTGTCCTCAGGTTGCCATAGTAACCCTCCCAGATATACTTGAACTCTTCCCATGACCTAAGGAAAAGGATGGGTGAGTCAGGTTCCTAAGGTTCCCAAATCACATCTTTAATTTCTCTGGTCCCTCACAGGCAATCCCAGTACAGCTTTCTCCTCCTACTCCATACTCTTCCCTAGGAAGGGATTCAGATTTTGTTCTAGTGTTTTCCTCTACAATTTTGGCTCCTCTTCTGCCTTCCTCCTTCTAACTAGGTGCCCAGGTCTCCCTCCATCGCTTAGTCAACCTCTGCCTAGTTTCCTCAAGACTGCAGTGAAGGTCAGAGAGAGAGAGAAGGCCCTGATCCTTAAGACTAGGATGAATTCTGAGCAGCTACCCACCCAGAGACAAGAGAGATGGTGTGTGTAAGTGCCCTTCCCCCCAAGAAAATGCCTCTGCTGTTGACTCCTAAATAACAGATGTCTGTCTGCATATTAATAAGATTGGACGAATAATTGGACGAATAATTGGTGAGTTTTTCATTCAGTGTCAGAATGAACCCGGAGGCCTTATGTTCATGCACACAGACACCCACTCACCCCCAACTCTCTCCTTTTCCCCAGAGCATAATGACACAGTCTCACATGCTGGCAGCCTTGACCTACAAAGGGGAGGGGCAGATGGGAACAGGGAGGGGTGTTAGCAGAAGGGAGACCCCCACAGTCTGGTTTGTCAGGTTTCTATCTTGATCACTGCCTTTCCATGGGGGTGAGGGGGAAGCTTGCATCTTGTTGGTTTTCACCAGCCAGCAGAGGAAGGGGAAAGTCAGTGTTAGTGAGGCAGTGAGGGGTCTGGGTGAGGGGTCTGGGTCATGGTAAGGCTGTGCTGCCCGCAGGAGATCAACAAAGCAGTAAGTGGTCATGGGGTGCTAGTAGTTCACACTTGTACTCCCAGCTACCCAGGAGACTGAGAGCAGAGAATCTTGGTTCAAAGCCAACCCATGAGACTTATTTC